GGACTGACAGAGAGAGAGGTAAAAAGAGGAGAGAGAGCAAGGGGGGAAGCAGGGCAAGGATTCATTCCTGCAGACAGGGGAAGAGATATGACTTTAGCTGGAGAAGAGACAGACTACAAGGGGGGAGGAGGAGGAGAGATGGAGGAGAGACAGAGAGAGGTAGAGGGGAGGGGAATTGGGGGAGGAGGCTCCATAAATTGGTTCAGGAATTCATTTGCACTAGGTAAGGTATAGCCTTGGAACATGCCATCCCAGTCAGATGAGAGGTCCTGTGGAAGGGAGACTGATCACAATGGCAGCAGATGGTGGAAAGTGGCGGGGCTGGTGGTTTTCTGGGGGCAGGGTGAGCGATGGGAGGCAAAGGGGAGAGGTGTATGGTAGAGTGACAGAAGTGGAAGAAAATATAACAGAGACGGATGAGGCCCAGACAGACGTACAGACAGACAATCACCAAGCTCAAATGTACTGTGAAACACAAGCAGCCACCTGGTAACTGCGATGGCCCCACTGGAATGCTGGATAATGATGCTGTTGGGTGCTAAATATCATCAGTGTGTGAATACTCATCACTTTGCAGCATTTCTAATTACTCTGGTGGTGTCGGGCTAATACATATTGGCAGCACTGTAATATTCATTAGCAGATAAGATTCCACAATGTCTGGACTGCAAATGAAAAAGTTGGAGAGTAATTGTAATTTCTTTTAAATCACAAACAAGCTTGCAAACGACTTTGGATATGAGCTAATACATTTTCATTCAAGCTGAAACTTTTTTTTTACTTAATTTGAGAGATTGACAGTATGGTTAAATGTTGGTCCCTCATTTCTTCTGTAAAATGGGCTGCATGGTTTTATCTCTGAGGCATTAAAATGCAGATAATTTGACTCATTTACTTATGACTTCATAAGAATTTTTCATATATTGATTCAATTTTCACTTTCACATACGCAGTTTGCTAAGTTTTCACAGTACAGTTGATACCTGAAGCCAATAATACTTTGGGCGACAGGAAGGAAGAGGAGGCAGGATGGGTGGAGCGGGAAATGAATACTGTTGACTGTGGTGCTCAATTTGCCATGCTGAAAAGCATTAAGCTGCATAAAGGCAAAACTGTGCTTCATACCATCAAAGCAATCAATGCAGGAAAAAAGGCAAATATATAAATAGCAAAAAAACCAAGCCATGCAAAATGTCAAGAACTGCTCACAAGAAACCAACACAAGAAAATCAAACAAATCTCATCAGAGCTGACTCGTATAGAAAAGGAAAAAGAAAAGACTGTTGAGCTGAATTTGAAATAGAACTGATAAATACTGATACAAGCTGCAAAGGTGTCTTGTAAAAATTATAATAATAACAATAATGATCATACAGAAAAAACAGCAGGAAGCATTGTTTTGAAATGTGAAGCCCTGTTGCCGTTATGTGAGCATGAAACAAGGGTAGTCCCCCCCACCAAAAAAAAAAATTAAGAAGAAAAAAGATGGCTGGAACTTTAATAATTGCAAAACACACACAAAACTGTTTAGTTTTTGTTGTGTGACTCAAAGTATGGCATTATTGTACTACTCCTGCTCAGGTAAAGGCAACAAGGGGAGCAACAGCATGTTGTGACGCTGGCTGTAGGCATGCTGTCTGAAGTCTCTGCCACCATTGTATTTGGATCTACCTATTAGTGCCTTACTGCTTCCAGCTGACATGCTGCAGTCACTGCCACTGTCTATTCCATAGACAGTAGATACATCACAGACTCAACCACATTTTGTAATTACGAGAGACTGTATGTTTTTAGCTAGCCCCAGTTCATGCCTCTCATGTATTAACATTACATTTTCAAATATATATATATTTGAAAAACGTAATGCCTGGCACTGTCACTCAAATGTAATGCTAATACATGAAAGGGTATTTTTTTTTGTCTTATTTAATCTCATTAGCTGCTCTGTTTTTCTCTCTTGTCTCTTTTTTTTCATATACACTATGTCTATAGACAGTCCCTGCTATGCTAGCACACATGATGTATCACCATTATTAATAATCAATATCTCCTCAAGGCCAGGCCTCTAATAGCATGAACTACTGTATATAATGTAGCAGGGACATGTTGCATGTTGTTTTATTGGGACATGTAATGGGTCTACCTCTTTTATTAGGGGACAAAACATGAATCCGCAGCAATGCAGTGACCTTTTATCTACCCCCCACCGATGTGTTACGTCCCTCTCGTCTCCTTCCCTCCTCTCCTTTTCTCCCTGTCTCATTTATCCAGCGAGCCGTCCTTGAGGCGGTACAGCATTAGGCAGGTTGTTAACACAGGAGAAAAGGGCGTTCAATGTCATGTCACTGTGTTGCAAAGCATGACAGAGCCAGGGACTGGGCCATCTTCTCGAGGAAATAAATACATCGCCATCTTCCTTTTTAGAGTGTAATGGTCTGGATATTACATCTCCTGTGGGACGTTACGGTCCACGGATAATAAATCCATCCTACACAGTGTGTGCTTGAGTGTTTATGTGTGCATACATGTGTCTCAATGAGCACAGTATGTGTGTGTCTGCATATGTATATATAGAGAGTAGGTGTGTTTGCGTATGTTTCTGTGGGGGGTTTACATGCACAGTGTGAGGCAATTTGTCCCCTAGAGGGAAAGTGATCCACTATCTCTACACCTCGTCAGCTGGAAGCAGCAAGGCAGCCGTAAATCTCAATTACACAAACCCCTCCCTTCTCCTTCCTCCCTATACTCCCCCCTTCCCTTGCCACAGGTGACAATGGACCAAATTGACTGCTCACTGTTGTGTTCCAAGGCTTACCATTGGCTTCGGGCTGAGTCTGAGAGGGCACAGCTACGTAGGGGTCCTCCCCTTTGTCTGAGCTCATGGGGGGGTCCTTCCGCTCCACCATGCGGCCCCGCCCCAGGGGGCCCTCTGCGGCCTCGGGTAGGGCCGAGGTGGGGAGTGAGAGGGTGTGGTGATGGTGGCGGTGATGGTGGCCTGCCGGACACAACACAGGTTAACCGACGCTCGGGGCAGACAGGCTTCAGTGCATTTGAGCACAGGCCAGCAAGGGTGCACACACACACACACATACACACTACTCCTTCTTTGAAGCATACACACATACACAGATGCACTCACACACGCATACACACAAGGACAGCTGCTGGGCTGTGTGAGGCAACACCGTGCTTCTCCCTGGTGACCAGGGGAAACTCATTAGCAAATGTGTGTGTGTCTGTGTCTGTGGTGTTCTGTGGTTTGTGTGTGTGGTGTGGTGGTGTGGTCTGTCTGTGGTGTGTGCGTATCTGAGTGTGTGTGTGTGTGTGTGTGTGTGCGCTTTTTTTTCTGTTATTCTTTGCCTCTCTGTCTTTCTCACTCTCTCCCCTCCTGTTCTGACAGACATGTCAAAGCTCCGCTGGGCCTGTCAGAGCAGAGCAGACTACAATCGTATATCTCCACACTCACCATAGGGTGCCAACGTTTGATATGAAGGACAAGAGACAAACTTTCTTTCCATTGCTCCTGTCGAGAAGACTGCCTGTAACTTTTCTTCAACTGTAAAGCGCTTTTTAACTCCGTTCATGCTCTTCCCGGCTACCTTTCTCAAGCTTCCTGTTACTTTAAATCTAACTTTCCAAGCAATGTCCTTAACTTTTTACACTTTAAAGCATAACATCTGTTTTAAATATGGAACAAATAGTAAATTTAAATCAAATTTATCTGCAACTATTTTGATTCATTGATCAATCATTTTAATTATTTACTGGTTCTAGCCTTACGTTTCTTCATCATATGTGAGATTTAACCAAATATCTTTGTGTTTTGGGTTCGGAGAAATTATGCCTGTGAAACATTGTAATGTTTCACTATTTTCTAAAATTTTCTAGACAAAATAATGAATGGATTATTTGAGAAAATAATTGGCAGATTAATTGACAACACAAACAGTCATTAGTTGTAGTCATAGTTTGTCTTTTTCCTCCTTTCTTTATTTGAAACCAAATATCTCTAAAATGTTTCATATCTGCACCGCCAGTAATCTTTATTTAGCAAGGCCTTCAGCAACATGGCTAGATCAATCATCAGAAATATGTCATTAAGAGTTAATGAATTTTCTCTGATCTGACTCCTCAGTGTAATTAAATTTCTTAATGGCTAAATGAACTACTGCCCAACAGAGGGTAACACAGCCATGAAGTTACACTGATGATGAGACTTTAATAGGAACAGCACACACAGGGTGTCTCTCTGTGGAACCAACCACCTTAAAGTTTGACTTTATCTGACAATTTCAACAAAGCACTCTTTCATCTGTGGCTGTTGGTTCATATCTATCTGCTCTCCGTCTATCAGTGCACGTCTCTCAGACAATCTGTTTTCCTGCATCCGCCTATCTTAGTTTTCTCATTTTCCTTCATAAGCAAGCTTTCTCTGACTGTTTATTTTTGAACCATGCTAATCACATTACCATCCCACAGCCTTACACTTAAGCCACCCTACACAATTTTGCACAAGCTATATATTGTGTTTAATATAAGGTATTTAAGACACACAATTTAACAAAATAATAAAATCCCTCGATGAAGAGTGACAACACTTTTATCAACAGCTTCTGTGGAGCTCAACCCCCAATTCCCATTTTGACACGCTCTCTCCACGGAGGAGGTGACAACAGTGTGTGCGTGTGTGTATGTGTGTTTTCAGATTTGCAGAGTTTTCAATATGTGTTTATGCTTGTGTTTGAAGAGGGGGGTGGAATTCCAGGGGACTAACGTTTATGCTGCTGGTAGACTATAGGCACAACAGACACCCGCACACAACACCACCCAGAGCCTCCTCCTCCTCCTCTGTGTGGCGTGGCAATCATTAAAATGATTTATTTAACTATTGGCCCAAGGCTGAGAGATTAGTGTGACAGGCCTATTTTATAATTCATTCCCCCACCGCCAGGGGAAGTGCAATTCAGGCAGATGACACACATAGAGAGAGAGCTCGGAGCCTCAGAGCTCCTCCACGGCTCAGGGAAAAAAAAGCCCTAAACTGCAGACGGATGCACATCCCTCTTTTTTTACAGATTAAAAGAGTGGCGAGGATGTCTGGTCTGGAGTTGAGGAGAGGAGAATGGAGAGGGGGCATTTATTTATCTTCAAATCCATATCAACCACTGACAGATAGACGGAGGGGCTGGGGCAATGGCTGAGACTTTCTTTGGTGGGTTGTAATGTAAACTGGGTGTTGTCTGTGTGTGTTTATGTGTGTGTGTTTGTGCCTGGAAAACACACAGCCAAGCCTGTGGGAGCATATTCAGCACTATAGGGGTGCACACCAACACAGATGCTTTTTCTGACCCTGGATGTCCAAAAGGAGAGAGAATCACAGTGGGGGTACAGCCACAGGGGGGTGGGAGAGAGAGAGATGGGTTTTCTGGAACGACTTCAAAATATCTATTCTTGTCATTCTGTATGGATCTGACTGTTTTGATCTGGCAGCTGCGAGGTATGTGGTGTGTGTGAGAGAGAGAGAGAGAGAGAGAGATTCACTGAAAGCCAAACTAATGTGCCCTCTGATTAGATAAAAATAAGGTGGATGTGAGCGTAGGTGTGGGTGCTCTGGATAAGAGTGACTTTGCTGCGGGCTAATCACATCTGTTTATCATTCTTTAAAAAGACTTGATTGATGAAAATGTTATCAGCCAGCAGTGAAGTGTGATTGTGATAGTGTGCTGTGTGATTAGGAGAGTAAACATATTTGCAGGAAGAAGCCGGCACTGGAACTATGCGTGCATGTACTGTCTGTCCATGTTTACCTTAGCCTTTTTGAGTAATCTTTGAGTGTGCACATGCTTGGTTGCAGTTGAAAGAAACACATCGGATCTTTCCTTACTCTAAACACTTTAATCTCTCTCTCTCTCTCTCTCTGGTGACACATGTCCTGTTTAATGTGCACGCTGAGGCATTTCTTCACCATCAAGGCCTTAAACCACCAACAACCAGATCCATCCAATTAGCGAACCAAAGGTCAGCGCTAATCGATGATATTGCACAGGGGATAAAGAGGAAGGGTGGACAAAAAGGGAGAGGACGTCTAATAGAATTAATAGAATCAGAATCAGCATTAAAGATTTTTAATTCTACATTTCTGATTTCTAATTCTACGTCCTTTATTCTAAACACCAAAGGGGCTGGATGAGAGAGGTGAAATTGACCGACCGTGCTGTAATGTTTCATTACCTTCGTAACTGGAGGGATTGTCTATCAAAAAAGAAGGAATGAAATTAATTCAGTTAAAACCTTGAGTCATTAATAATCCGTCTTTACACATGTGGGAGGAGTTTTCATTTCCTTGAGAGGGAATGATTGATTGACTAGATGAAGAGGTGTGGCTGAAGTTAAAGAGTCAGGGGAGATGAAATGCAGCTCCTGTCTTTTATTGAATTGCCTCTACAGTATATATAGGATACTTACCGTTCAGTGCCACAAAGGTGTCTGGAAGGAGAAGAAAAGAAATGAGGAGAAACGTGTTATTGCTTGCCGTAAAGAGAGCTTATGCTTTAACATGATCAAAAGCCATGACTTTTAAAGTAATTCAGAATCGACTGGCTGCTCGATATTCTCCTAACTTTTAATCAGATCTGATCTATGGTTTCTACAGCTAATGAAGGTTCAATGCTTTGGCTTCCCTTGACTAAACACACTGATGAAACTGAAGGGGAAAAAGCACCGCCTTCATTTACTCTGAGTAAATAGTTAAAATTGAGATGAAATGGACTAAGATGAGTGATATAACGTCAAATTGTTTCAAAGTTTCTTATGTAAGGTAGCTGAGCAGCTAAGTAAAATATCAACAGAGTATCATATTTGACAAATCCAAACTGTTTTGTAGCATGAAAAGAACACATATACATTCTCCATATGTGTCGTTCTCTGTGTTGTGGAGTGAAAGAGACCTTTCAAGACTTCTGAGGCTGACTGGGTTGAGAGCCTTGTCTTGTTTTGTGTTTCTAAATGAGCCTTGTGACTGCTCACAAGTAAAATCCCTTCCCTGTGTGTCACTGAAAGTTTGTCCTGTGTTTTTGTAGCAATTTGCAAGAAGGAACCCAGTCTTTGCCCAAGTGGACACAACACTCCATTGACCGGGAGACCAGAGAAACAGCGGGAGAAGTACAGAAGAGGATGAGAGCCGAAAGGGACAGATGGATGGAAGAGGCTGAAAGAGAGGATTGTGAGGGCGGAACAGACGGGGGAGAAAAAGGTGACAGCAGCGAAGAAGGAAACGGAGGGCCGAGAGAAGAGGGAGACTGAGTTAACAGAGAAGAGAGGAATGGTAGGGGGGTTATAGAATAGAGGAGGAAAGATAAGAGTGAAGAGGGCCTGCTTACTTTGGCAGTCTCCCAGGCCATCTGTGTTACCATGCTCCACGTCCTGCTCAAAGGCTGATCTGCGGGGAACAGAGACATCATGGTCAGCAGAGGAAAACAGGCCAGGCCATGCAGGCTCGCCACACCTAACAAAGTAACAAAGCTATAGGAAACCTACTACAAAAACACCCCCAAACACAGCGTTCCCTATGCTAGCACACAGTGTAGGCTGCAGAAAGCCCTATACTGGAACAAAATCAAAGAACACCTAGCAGGTGCCCTGGAGGCCTAAAATCAGTGGTTATGAGGAATGCTGGCAGGCTACTAAATCCATAGTTGGCACAGGACTCATTGCCAGCAGTGTTGATACAAATAGATTCATGTTTTATTTGACTGTCAAAAAAAAACTAGCTATATTTTTGCATAGCTTTAAAGGAGTAGTTCAACATGTTGGGATGGGTTGCTTATTAATTTTCTTGCTGAGAGTTATATGGGAGAAGTTATGGCCAGCAGCCACTTAGCTTAGCTTAGCACAAAAACTGGAAACGGGAAAACAGCTACTCTATCACCAGTAACTGTGTTTGTTTAATTCACACAAAAACCAAAGTATAAAAACAACAATTTGTTGTTTTAGAGGGGTCATGTGTTGGAGAATTTTCCCACTGGGGATTAATAAAGTTAATCTTCTTCTTGGACTATTACTTGGATCTGAGCAATTGCCAGGCAACCAGCGGAGACTCCAGAAAGTTACTGGTCCCGGGCCAACAAGTAGTCAGGCACAAAACTCCCTCATAAAATTAAACAAACAAGATATTACGTATTAATTAGTGAGCTTTAGAGGTACTTGTTTTCTTACAGTTGGACAGAGGCAGGCTAGCTCTTTCCAGTCTTTATGCTAAGCTAAGTTAACCTGTTTCGGACTCAAGCTTCACATTTACTGTGCAATGAAAGTGATATTGATTTTCTCATCTAACTCTTGGCTTGAAAGCAAATTAGTACATTTTTCCAAAATGTTTCGTTAAAAAAAAAAAAAATTACAAAAACTGTTTTTATGAGAACTTCACTTCAACCCTCTCTCCTATTTCTCAGTATCTGACATCATCTAGGTTCAGTAGAGATATGAGGCTGTAGTCCCAATCACATGGGCCAAGACCAGGGCAGCGAGGGGTAACCATGCTTGAGGGCCATCATATGACACAGAGGGAGAGAGGGAGAAAGAGGGGGAGAGAGAGTGTCGGAGATGTTATTTTCTGATGCAATCTGCACTGAGACCTGTTTTCTTCCTGAAAGACCACCAAGCAGGCAGTAAGGAGATCTGTGAAACAGAGCGGACCAACTGTCAACCAGGATCACAGTCACGCATGACAGCTTTTCACAGTCCTTGTCAGCCCCCACCCCTTGCTACTCCACCTCCTCTTGCCTGTCCACCCGCCTCTCATCTTCCTCACCCTCCACTGGTCACAATTATAGCATGAAGAAGAATGATTTTCCAAAACAGCATCACCCACCCCCCTATCCCCAGATCAGAGTCGAAAGCGTGAACCTGACAACAGGGACAAGTACAGGAGATTTTAGGACGAATTGGATTTCTGCTGTTCTGTTCTCACATCAGACACAAAGCCAAAATCACTACTTCATGTATATTTATGTGCTGGAGATGGTTGAAAAATTACATTCTATGATTTAGTATTTATCTTTCCTCCAGCCGGACAGAACCTTAATTGGGATAAAGATGGTAAATTTGACCTTGCCTTCAAAAGCAACAGCAAAAACAGCCTCACAAACAACAACAGCAGCATCCTCTTTTCATATCTGGGGGTACATTTAATCTGCTTATCTGATTTGTTAATCATACACAGCCATAATCACAAAGCAGACGCAGAGTTGCACAATTGAACCTGTCTAAGCACAAATGCTGTCCAAGCACTCGTGGTATCTGCTGGATTTTCCTAACAGATTTCATCACCTCGTCCCACCCTGCCCCGAAATTTAGCTTCTTTCACGAGACCAAAACACTGGCAAACCTTGCGGTCCTGGTTTCCATGGTTGATAATAACATTACATACTGTGGTGAGACTGTGTTGAGATGAAGATTACAAGGTTTAAATCCCATTGGTCTCAAGATGAATTAACAATGAGTAGTCACACTACACATGCAGTGTCTGGACCTTACTTGGCACATGTGAAAGTAAATGAACCATAGTGTGAACCCTGGGCTAAAGGGTTCAGGTCCCATGGCATCTGCATTATAGCAACAGAAGTGCAGTGTGTTCAAATGTGACACTACAGACAGTTCAGCTCAGGGTGAGCATCCCACTACAACTGTATAATGCATATTTAAATTAGGTTAAAACTTCACTGTACGTAACTGGAGGCAGCAAAGGGCCACATTTGATATTATCAGATGTGATAATTATGTGAGATGTGTGGTTGCACAGAGGGGACTTGGTTACTGAAATGCAGGTCAGGCATAATAGCATTAATTATTCATATCAGAAGTAAATGGGCAACAAGGGACTTAATATACTGTACATACAGTGTAAAATGAGTATGCATGTTTCCTCAAAGTCGCCTATTCCTTTTTGATTTATGGCTTTAAATTTAAAAGGAAAGGATACCTGCAATAAACTTACACCTTATTAATCAGGGTTTCACCAGGATATAAGTAACTATATGTGCGAATTTAATCAGTGCAAGTCTCCACCCCTGATCCAGAGAAGAGTCAGAGCTGATGACTGTGACAATGGCTTAAATAATTAACAAATAATTACTAATATGCTCATCTGTTGTCAGTGAAACACACCCATGTACCTAGTTTACATAAAAACCACAATATTGAATCATATGGGATTATATGCATGAGCAGGGGGTGACTGGGGACCATATTGCAGGAGACCAGAGTGCAAGCTGTACATAGGCAGTAGGTATGAGAGGCATAACTCCACATGGGAAAGCTGGCACACAAGCGCTGAGGCCAGATGGAAGAAGAAAGGAGGGGAGGCATGCAAGAGTGAAAGAATATGTCAGAGGTAAGATAGAAAAAGAAAGATGGATAAAAATAGATACACAGACAAGGATGGGCAAACGGAGCTAAGAAGACAGATAGGTTGCTGGTTAGGTAGACAAATAGACAAGGAAACAGGGAGAGATGGTGTTGCAATATGGTTTTTATTTTAATGAGGAAAAGAAAAAGTAAGAAAGAAAGACTGATGTCAAGAAAGAAAAGTCTCATTTCTGCAGGGACCTGTTTGTATGACCAAACCTTTTTATTTAACACCAAAATGCCTCTGACTCTCTCCTCCCTCGCTTCATTCCTCCTCCTGTCAAGCCTGGAAAATACTTTTACCACCACCACACCCCCCAATCAGAAATATTGTACAGTAAAGGAGCGAGGTCATCTGCCCTCTTAATGCTCCTGTGTCGGCTCCTGCTCCAAAGTGGAAACTCAATCAGAACAGTCCACTGCAGCTTTACGGAATAATAATAGGATGGCCTGCGTGTGTGTTTTTGTGTGTGCATGTGGGTACGTGTGCCTTTGGTTCACTGCCATGCCAGACCAATCATTTTGCAGCAGGGGGATCAAATTCATTCAATGTCAAATAGCCACTGGAGCACTGGTCCTTTTGTTATGACTTCATCTGTAAAATGTTTTTTCCCACCACAAAACTCCATATGCTGTTTGTTCAGAAAGCATAATCTGGTTCTGTGTCATAACTACAGCCACAAATTATAGTTACCGCGACCATCAAGCTTTCCCCAGCCCTGCGTACCCAACCCCCGAGCCTGGGGCAAACAACACTTTCCTTCCATTCATCCTTCCAATAGCCCTTTCAGTTGGAGGAAATTGCACTTACACACCATAAAATTAGAAAGATCAGAGACACAACACATTCAGACACAAATGCCACCAGGCATGACAAAGAAGGTGGCATACTGTTTCATAAAAGTTGCCTGGAAAACACATGTGTTTCAGGCTTTTTAAAACCACCAGCATCATGTTAATTACTTCTCCCAGCTGCAAATATGTACCCAGCACAATGTTTTACATGTTTTATGAACATATTTAAACTGCTGAATACTTACTTGGTGTTGCCAACCACCTGTCTGCAGGCTCCTTCTGGCACCCAACCACAGTACGGGTCCCTGGAGGCTATACAAGACCTGGATGTGACACAAACACACACACACACACACACCATCAGCCCCTCATCATATTGTATTCTTTAGGATTTCATGTGCATGCATCAAACTTACTTCTTGCATCTTCCATGCCTTTCACAGCGGGACAGCGGTACTTTAACCACACAGGAGGTGAAAGCGACCCACAAAGCGTGACTCTTGCTGTCTATCTGCATGCCGATGATGCGCTTGTCCTCCACACCATCAATACTGCACCTAGATGAGAGAGAGAAGAAGACAAAAAGGGATTTTTTTGTATTTCCTTCAACTATTTAGGAGCAAAGTATTGTAGAAAAGTTGATGAGGAGAAATATAAGATCAGATCAGTCAGTCAGTATCATCTAAAGAGATAAAAAAGGAGGAAGATTAAGATGCGGCAGAAAGACAAAGTGTGAGGGCAGCTAGGAGAACAGAGATAATGCTAGACTCGAGAACATGGGGTCAGGAACAGAGTGGGAGATAAAGAGAGATAAAGAAAGGGGTGATACTGATACAACAGATAAACAGACAGATGGGCACTGTGAGCAGTCAGCAATAACACCGCACTTAACTGTTAAACCCACTAACATTAACTCCCTCCTCCCCCCTACTCCACATTCTTCCATTCCTCCATCCCTGCTAGTCTTCTTTGTCTACTCGGCCCCACAGGAGCACACTCTAATCCTTTAGGGCGTGTCAAGCTTTCTATCCCTTCTCTCCGTCCATTCCTCTCTCCATCCCGCCATCCAGCTCCTGGGATTTAATCTCCCGTTCGCAGTGCTCTGGTCCCGCATTAACGCTCTCAATTAGGGCTTAGAGACCATCTACACTGGGTAATGCACGACAATCGGGCCTGCGCTGATCCAGCCAGCCAGGCCTGGGAAGCAGGCGGGCAAAGTCACTTACTGAACGCGACTAAAGCCAGATGGCCAGCAGCCGACGAATGCTCTTCCCCAGCCATAGAGCCAGGGAAGAGGAGAGAAGGGAAACAAGATACAAGAAGCAAGGAGACACAGCGAGGGGAGAGGAGAGAAGGCAGGGCCTGCCCTTTATCCCCTCCATACGGCTCGTCACATGGCCGCAGCATGTTGGATAACAAACAGTGGTAACCTTGAAAGCCCCCCTGTCAAGTCTTCGCTCTCATTCCCTTCTTTTTCTCGGCTGTCTTACACAATCACATATTCTCCGCTCTGCTTCTTCTCATATCTCCTCTCTGGTCCTCTCCTCTGTTCTTTCTCCCTCTTCTGTACTGCCATTCGTTCCCCCTCATCCATTATCCCTCGACTAAATATTTGTTTTGGCAGGGTCATACTGTGGCTGATTTTTTCTTATTCACTTCTAGTCCAAATACACAACAATACTCAACTCGCTCACCTCACCGTGCCCAGCTCACACACATTCGTGACCACACACACACGCACATTCACATCCATACATGCACCAACAGCCGTGTAATGTATTAGAGAGAGATCCCAGGCTGGCTCTGAAGACAAACACAGACCCTGGAGTGTGAGTGAGTGTGTGTGTGTGTGTTTCCTTTAATCAGCCAACGTTTTGGAGGAGCTGGGCTCCGCTGTGGTTGTGAACCACAGCGCTACGTTATCCAGAGCCTTGGGGTCTATGTCTTTAATTTAGTAGCTGCGGTTGGGCAGAGTGTAACCTGATAAAACTCTTTTAAATGATAGAGTAGCCATCTGGCTGGCTGGCTTCGCTATATAGCTTGGGTCGGGGGAACTGGCTGGTACTGATGGAGCTGGTGGGTTGGTGGGTTGGCTGAGTCCGGAGATGGTTGGAAACATGCAAAATCACACACATACACACTCTCTATAACACACACATATGCAATAACTGACCTTCCTTTATTTGTAGCAACTGTATCCATGTGTTTCTCTATTTCTATCCATCCCTCTTACACATTCACACATACACCCAGAGCTACATACTTGTCAGGGTTATAGACGTTGAGCTCCTCCAGAAACAGGCTATCATTGAGGAAGCCGTTGCTCATCTTGGCCAGAAATTTGAGGATGATGCCTCTCTCAGATCCCAGGAAGACCACTGTGTGGTTTTTATTGGGACCCGCCTCATTGTCCACCACAATGCGAGTCAGACGATACCTGAAACAAGAATACCAAGTAAAATAAATCAACCAATCAATCAGTCAATTAATTAGTCAGTTTGCCCACCAACAGAGGGGCACGTTTGCCTTTTAGAAGAGCAACAGATGGTGAAGAAAAACACCCGCAGGGATTCAATGTAAATGTTTTGAACTCCTTCCCAGTGCAGTGCTCTTTCTACTGGACCACATTCAAAAACTTGTAAGATTAAATTTGCATCAAGCTACTCGCAACTACAAAAACAAAACAAATAAGAACAACAAACAAAGAGTGAATATAATTTCCCAAATAATAATTATATAATCAATCAATCAATTACTGTGCCTTCCATCATTCACGTCAGATGTCTAAAAAAAGAATAAGGATCAGCAGGGGAGATTACACAGTCTTAATTAACTCATTAATTAACTGTTATTTCATTAGAAACTCAATCAGACTGCCATAGGGCATGTCAGGTGGATTCCTAGAAGAAAAACATTACACAAAAGTTGCAGACAACAGTTGCAAGCTCAATTTATTTTCTGATTGACAGCTGCTGATCACACAGTTTGATTCAGCACCAGGTGGGTGTGCATAAAAATCAATTTTCACAAAAAAAACATACCAAGCAGATTCAAGTTAGCAAATTAAACACCTGCCAGTCAGTGTGTTTTTGGATCGGTGCCCCATTGTGCTTGTGGGCATTAAAAGGAAAATTCAGATGGATCAAACATGTTTTAAGAAATACCTCTTAAAGCTATTTACTTTTACCATCTGATTTCATTGCATCACAGATGCTGGTATCTATCTCTCAATTAGTTTCAGGGCCAAACTCTCAAAGTTATCAAAAAGGTACATATCTGTGCATCAGAGTGTATTATGCAAATGCTTGTTTTCAGATGTTTTAATTGAAGAAGACAGGATTTAAAGATTAAAAATGAGAGCTTATCCCGAAATCTAGGAACTCCACTTTTACCCTCATTAATGGTTTACTAAGTGTTCTCTATGTGGAAATGGGTGAAAAAGTCCAGAATTTATTTTGGATGTGATACATGTAAATTTTACCTTACTAGAGAGAACAGTTCACATCATGAGCCCATTAAAAAAAAAAACAAGGCCACATTCTCTTATTCCATCTCCACTGCTGATCTCTTTAAATATCTCCTTAAATGCTCTGTGTTAGTGGCTTTGTCCAATCAACAATAACAGCAATCTGAAGGTCTAGGGTAGTTTTGATATATATACAATCATAACAGGAGGAACTCCAAGGACTGTGTCAATGGGATTTGATCCGAGCAAAATAATACAATCTCAAGGACTAAGACATTCACTATCTTTCCTATTCAGGATAATGAAAATCTCAAGAGGGGGATTCTTCAGAGTGTCTTCCCCTCTCCATTTGATTCATTGTGCCCAGCCAGCTGAGGTCCCTGCCACAGCACAGCAAGTCTCAGGACAGAAAAGCGTTGCTGGATATTGGGGTGTCCTCTCCAGGGTGGATCCCAGGTTTAAACCCTATTACTGATTTTGTTTCCAGTTGACTACAGCTCAAGAATAGTATTACACATCGACTGTGACAGATATCATAAAAAACCACACTCCTTTTCCACCCCATATGCCTTCATGATGCTTTTTGAGCTTACATAATGCTTTTAACTACTGCCTCTGACTTGCATGCAAGGCTCTGCTCACTGTGGTGTCATTTTAAATCACATACAATAGTCTGATTGCTGATTATGTAAAGACAGAGACCCTGTGTCAGTCATATTGTGGTCATATGATAAAGTGCACTAATGAACAGAGAGAGTTGTAGGGATAACCTTGATGAAAGCTGTTCATATTCTGACTAAGCCTGCACAGTATGTAGGTCAGACCTCAGCAAAGTAGCAGCAAAATGTGATACGATGCAAATAATTTGTAAAAGCTAAGAACAATTCTTTATGTAGCTCATTGTTAAAGTTATGTTACCACCACTGAAGCTTGACAAGGGTCTGGCAAGCACTCCTAACCTTAAATTTCCAGCAGCTGCAATTCAGAACCAGGTCCGAATTAAAACCAAGATTTTTTTTTTTTTTTCACTTTTTACCAAATGCTCTGTCAGCTACTTTTGCCTTGTCGATGGGATGGCGGTGTACTGTCATATTCCCCCAGAGGCTTGCGGAAATGTCTGTGTAGTGTAGCTAAGAGCCAAACAGACCTTTATGATCAAACGGAATCAGCCACAGTGCACTGGCTTTTGGGAAATGGGCTCAAATCCAGAGACTCAGGAGAAAAGCCAACCACAGAACAAAAAAAAAAAATCTTTTTACTCTCTTTGAGATATCCTCAGAGGATCTAAACAGGCACTTTGCAACAAAGACTAAACATAGCTAAAATCATCTTAATAAGGGCTTCTAAGTATACATATGAAATATCTGTTTGTATGAAATATCACTGAGAATTCAAATTGTTTACTCTGTCTTCATCACATCACTACACAGTCACTCTGGGAGAGAGATAGTACAGTGTAGATCAGTGTTTCCTCTACTACAGCAAAAATAGGTCAGTGGCTGGTTTGTGGTGGAGTACTACTGTGTTTTAATGAGCCTCGCTCTCAGTGCAGCACTTCACGTAATTATTGTCCTGGGCTGAAGAGGCTTGTAGACCTCTGATGACGACGGCACTTGGAGTGTGTAATACTTACCGGACCATGGTCTTGAGGAACCAGGGCCTGTTAGCGATGGAGGGCACGGCCTCGTCCATCAGAGGATGCATCTTGATGAAGTTGAGTGTGTCGTCGGGGAACTCGTTGGATACCTTGTACCTCTCCATGGTTGGAGTGCCAGCACAGTTGCCAGGCCTGCAAGTGGAGAGCAGGAGGAGGATGGCAACAAGGAGGAGGGATGATGAGAGAGAAAAATGGTTAGTAAAAGGAGGAAAAGGCACTAAAGAAAAACCTCTACATTGACTGTGGGGAGGAATAAGCTATTTTTCAGGCCAGAGCTCCAATAGGAAACAGAAAGTTCTACTTCCTTAAAATCAATGAGTGCAACCTTAAATGACTAAACTTTCATTCCAACAGATTTTGGTCAGAGCAGAGGACACAAGATGTCTTCTTTTCTCTGGACTTGGGATAAAGCACTGAGACATTCTATCTATCTGATCCTTTTACAGGGAGTTGGTGAGCTGCTTGTAAAAGAGAAGCTGCTTTTGATAGCATATCCCCTTTGCAGGCATCTCACCTCTGAGAGCTTGTAAAACCCCTTTACTGCATGCTCTTTGATACCCTGCCACACCGCATAATCCACACCAGGTCCTAGAAATATTAGCCAGCTGGTCACTGAATGTCTAACACTGTCAACATGTCAAGACCAAGCCCTAAAAAATATATACGTGTGTACTGAAGAAAAAAGTATATTCATCTTCCTATAAAAACCTTCCTTTATATAAAAAGTAGAATAAAGGAATTCAATAATGAAGAAAAATCCTTCAACCATTCTGTGAATTCCTATGTCATATCTATCTAATTGTGAAGAAACATGTAGTTTGATTTGGACGAATATTCAAAACCTGCAAGAGAAAGTCTTAAAATTACTTTTTAACTCTTCAAGGTCTGCATTTCTGGCCTTAAGTATATAGATAATCCCCTTGACAGATGAGTTAAAGTCAACTGCTGCTAATGTTGAATTAACCTAAATTGATATCGTTAAAGTAAGTGTGAGCAGAACCCTTTGTCAATGTAAAAAAAGAAACAGTAGCGGCCAGTCCTATGACATTTTCTTTGGTGTAGCTACATTTATGTCAGTGGACATATGGAGGGCAGAACGGAAACAGACATCTCTTAATGCGAAACACTGTAAATGATTCAGTATGAGAGTCTAACACATGGAGGAACAGTCTGCTGCAGGGCCAGACCTAGGTGGCATTGTTACAACTCTCCGTCTGTTTGCCTGCAGATAAACGGTCTGAATGCACCAGAGGATGGAAATGAAATCAATCACATCAGTCACTGCAGAAACAACGACGGGTATATCTGATCCTTTCAACATCTGACCTTGTTGAACATAAAAAAGTAATTACATGCTAATTGGGGAAACTCACACATACGTATACACTCATTCACACAACGCATGGAGATGAATGCACCGGCAGTGCAGTACATGCTCTCTTTTGGTGAGGAACCGCCTCTTCATCCATATGGGAACACACACACACACACACAAAGGGTACCAACAATTTTCATGGCCCAGATCTTTGTGGTAAATCTGTTTTTTTTTCTGGAGAATAGAAAAGCAGCTCTTAGCGCACTAATTAGCAAGCAATAGATGGGAGATTGATCAGGCTGGTGCATTTGTGGAATTAGCCAGCCATCTGTAAAATGATCTCATGCTTCATTTGTTGATACTGAGCCCGTCTTTGATGCAGCTGCGTGTGGGGGAGAGAGGTGAGGTAATGGGTTACGGGTACAAGTGTGACAAGAAGTTGTAACTGTGTGAATGTGGCGGTGGCTGTGACACAATGTGACACAGGATGTGTAATCCCATATTAAAAAAGACGTTGGTATGTATAGAAAAAGTGACGCAACAGGAGTTAAAAATGTGGTCATATTAACACATAGTAATTTAACAAGTCTTATGCATTAATTAGAAGGACATCCAGTACATCTTGTGTGTGTGTGTTTGAGAGAGAGAGAGAGAGAGA